AGATGTACGGTCCATTAGATTCATACAGTACTTTTGATTTTGAAAATTATATGCAAGTGTTGAAGCGAATGATACGAAAACACGCTAATCTTTTGCAACAAATTCATCGACGACTAATCGAAAAGTACAGTTACGATCAACATCCTCAAAATAAGAAGAATCAGAAGATTTTGAAGCATCCTATACTCAAGAAGCCAATTGTGTCAGAACTTCCTTTGGGTTGCCACAGCGAGCACCAAATTCTACAAATCCGCATGTTTGAATTATCAAATAAAAGGCCAGACAACTGTTGCTTCCTGACTGATGCAACTATCGTGATGATTAAGCACATTGGATTAATGGAAAATAAGATTGTTGTTCTTGGTAATAAATTTCTAAACAGATCTGATATTTTACATTATCCGTGTCCCTCAAGTAACATGAATATATACAAAGTTGAAAATCTGTCACCTTTACAAATGTAGCTTGTACAATGCATTGAACGTAAAGGATTTTTAATGACAATCGAGAACATTACTTACGCCATGCCTTTTTTACAAGATTGATATGAGGTGATGTGGAATCATACTTTGCAGATGCAGACTTTGTAGTATTTTTTGACGACTTTTGTAATCTCGTACCAGAAAATTGGATGGATTTAGAATCAAACAAAGTTTTTTGGCCTCCAAAACAGGTCAAATTTAATAAAAACAAAATGCATTATCTACATCCAAAAGATGACTGGCTTATATACGAATGCCGTAAACGTTTGGGACCTTTTGGTGCGTTTTTTTCAAGAATGTTAAATATTTAGAAAATATTAACTTACTGTACACAAATAAAAACTAACACTTTTTGCAGAGTCTTTTCAATTAGCTAATCAAGTAGAAGAGCACTGCATGAACATATCTACAAATAAAGATACTGATGACGTGTGACAAAGCTATTAAGGCATCTGAGGCACAAAAGATACGAAATAAGAGAAAGCCAGCATGGCTTCGGAACGAAACGTTGGCGTCGGAAGAAGAAGTAGAAGAAGAAGTAGAAGAAGAGGAAGAAGAGGAAGAGGAGGAGGAGGAGGAGGAAGAAGAAGAAGGTAATGTAAAGTAAATTTCCAATGAAATTTATTTAAAAAAATAGCAACATAAATATACGTAACTAAATATAATATATTTTGCAGTAACCGAAGAGATATGTAAAAGAGATGGTACTGTAAACTCGTTTGTGTTACCATCATCTAATTTATCAGTCTACAAATTCGGATAAATGTAAACTCTCTCCAGTAAATGCAAAATCGACAACCGTTAACTTTCCTTTGCAAACTGTTGAAGAATTCGAAGAATTTGAACGAAATCTTGTCGAGTCCTTGGAAGTACAAAAATTCTACGTAAGAGATTATTTGTCATACTTTTCTTTACAATACAAATGCTCAAATCGTAATGATATATTTGCTTTTATTTTTGCAGGTTAATGAGATAAAGATGATTGGAGGATCTGATGCAGGCAAATTCATACCAGAGCCACATTGCGCTTCTTAATGTCGAATCAGCTAGCAATAAAGTATTCTTGGTCCGGTCAAAGAAACACATTAAAATTTCAAACTACTCGAATTTCTCAACTCATTGTCGGTGAGTTAATAAGCAACATTTTCTTCTTCAGTTTTTAGATTACCAAATATTAATGTTTAACTTTTACAATATCTATATACTTATACTTACAAAACATTATGTTGCAGAAACCATCTCGAAAATAAAGAACGTTCCTAAGAACGACATTGGGATATTTGTTAAGAAGTGGCTGCAGCACGCTAGTGACCGGATAAAAAAAAAAGACCTAGATTATATTATAGGTAGATTCAGGAAGCATAATTTTGGCGCTATTTTCAACTTTTATCTCGCTCGATTTGTACAAGCGATGATGTACGTATTATTTGTAACGGTATAAAAATGAGTTTAATTTTGATTTAAGATGAAAGAAAACTTAATTTTATTTTGTTTTATTATACATTATAATTATTTTGCATCGGCCGCTTGACAGAACTCAATGAGCCCGCTTTCGTGTTATAAACGTTACAATGTAATCGCGTGTAAATGTGCTGGACGCGTATACCGCTCGGGACATAAATTATCTAATTAAACACGATTGATTTTCCAAAACTCGCCTTGTTGCCCCGGCGAAAAAACTCATGCGTTGCTCACCGCTATTCGTATAATTATATTCTACTTTTATGTTTTCCTTTCAATCGCTAAAGACTCTCATCCGATGAAGCATTAACGGGACGCGCGGAAGTGCGTCCGAATTCCGAAATACAACGATCGTCGCTGCTTCTGCGAAGTAACAATATGTTTGTAGAATTTCGAATCGTTACTCGATCACTCTATTGGGACACTTTTATATTTTCATAATATCATATTATACATTGATTATTTTGCATATAAAATTTTATTTTACGCATGTCTGTATGTACGATAAATATGTCGCTCATATTATACAAATCGTTTGTTATAACAATATGATACTTACAATATTTCAAATCTGTATACCAATTTAGTAATATAATCATTAATCGATATACCTGAATCATGGATACTTCTATTTTATATTTCCTATATTTATTTTCTTAATTTCAGTGTTTATAATCCTAATATTCTGTCTGTAACATCGGATAAGAAAGAATCCTTCATAATCTATCCAAAAACAGTTTCTACATTAGAAAGAACATAAAATGTACTAATCCATTTTATGTTCTTTCTGATGCAGAAACTGTTTTCGGATAGATTATGAAGGATTCTTTCTTATCCTTCAAATACAAAGGAATTATTTTTCTATTCTATGAGAAATCGCAATGCATTCGAAATAGTGCTTAAATAGAGCTCTATTAGAATACTGTCTAAACATAATTTCGAATACATTACGAATTCTTATGGAGTAGAAAAGTGATTTTTTTTGTATCTGAAGAAGAACTCAGAACTGGTGACGTAGGAAAGAACTCCTTTTGAACTCTTAAGAATTCTTTTAGAACAGAAATGATATATGGGAAAAGAATACATTTAAAAAATCGGGTTTTTAAAAAGAATTCTTTTTCAATTCTCTGTGCTATCTGGGAAGCCTACTTAGAACTTGATCCGTTCACTCGTTATCGAGATCTCAACATCTCGGGTACTCGCAACCCGTCGCGTCGCGTAAAAGAGTCACGGTCGGTCTCGCTCCGCGTGTACTTGGCGCGAGACACTACCGTGTCTCTTGATAACTTCAAATTTTATATTTACGAATGGAGTAAAATTGTCATAAAATGTTATTAATATGAAAAGAAAATAATAAACACAAATTAGCAGTTTGTTCATGTATATAAGTAAAAACATTTTACAATTCAAAATATGAAAATTGCATCGATAGCTTGGGGTCCAATTAGGGGGGGGTTTCTCTCATAATATTCCGCTACGTGCCCTACGAGCGGAGATATTGCGACGCAAAGTCCAAATGGGAAAATTTATTTTTAAGATACTTCTTCTTCTACTTCTAACGCCGACTTATATGATGACGTCATAATCAGAAACGTCACTTTCACTTTTTCGACGCTGGCGGCGCAGGTATCGCCAGTTTCGATATCGCGCGCATATTTCGAAATTAGGTCGATAGACTTATCGGTCAGGAGGAAGATTTCTATTTAGGTAAATTAGGTATATACTTATATAATATATATTGAGTCAATTGCTTCATGTTTATCTGGAGTAGAGTCCTATAGTCAGAGAAGCGACATTAGCGAACTCCTTTTGTTGGTCAACTGAGTCACGTGGTTTAGTCGCCATTTTGTGTACCAATG